AAAATATAAACATCTGGATATATAGTCTATTTATATTGTATATAATATCTGTAAAAATAGCTTATGGCTTGTCTTCAAATTCCATTTCTGAATCTTATACTTGAACTTCAATTTAAAAAATCTTCTCATCTATTATTTGTAGACTCAAGGTGGACAACAACGGTGGTGCCTGGTGTCCCAAGCATATGGTCTCACGCGGTCTTACGGAATATCTGCAAATTGATCTGCTGCAGGTGCATTTGGTGAGCGCCATACGCACACAGGGTCGCTTTGGCAAAGGTCAGGGCCAGGAATATACGGAGGCATATGTGCTTGAATACTGGAGGCCGGGCTTTGAGAAATGGTTGCGTTGGAAGAACCATCAGGGCAACGAGGTGAGTGCCAAGCCTCTGTAGCTCTAGCTYTGCATTCACACATTAATCACGCGAACGGGTCGACCGCTGTGGCGATAAACATCGCAATAACCGCAAGCAACGAAACAGATACAAAATGTATCTTAACATCTTTAGGCTGTGAAATTTACGTGCGAATTATCGCGAGCTTAGCGAGCATTGCGTAGGTGTCCCGCGATTAAGCTGGCTCTTACTGGTTGTGCCCCGAAACCGTTCCATCGATTTATTGTGTGCAAGCTAAGAAAATCAATTTGAACGCTTTTGTTTTTTCTCTCAATCTCCTCTCTTTTTCTTGTTTTTCTTTTTTTTTTTGTAGCCAAAGAGCTCAAATTCCCCCACCTACACAGAGCTGGAGCATTAATAACGTTTTTTGCTTTGCAGATACTTCCTGGCAATATAAACACCTACAGCGAGGTGGAGAACGTGCTGCAGCCCAGCATCTTTGCGTCCAAGGTGCGCATCTATCCCTACAGTCAGTATGATCGCACCGTTTGCTTGCGCGCCGAGATCGTTGGCTGTGCCTGGGAAGGTAAGTGGTCCATAGCCATAGCCATGAATTATACCAAACATTACGCACGCCCCAAGTCCCGCATCACCGATGCACCCATTCAACATTGTGGTCGCACTTGTTCGTGCCCTGTGGCTGGCAAACAGCTAAAGTATCTCTTAGCTCTTTGGCTCGTTGCAAGAGCGAGGTTATCTAAAGACAAATCGAAGCTGTCATACTCTAGCAAATAAGTGTTGAGTATATGTTTATTTATAGAAAGATTGCTTTTATGGAAGCTCTTGGATTTTACACGTTCTAGATAATATATATAGTATGTTATAATGATATAGGAAACAAAAATCATATTTGAATTATTTTCTTTTAAATAATTTGAAAAACAATATAGGGAAATTATTATTATTGTCGATGTAAATTTAACTAATATTATATATAATTA